CTTCTCCTACTAGTAGTGCTTCCAATCCTGAGCGCAGGCACACCTATCCGATTGCGCTTAAGCTGCGTGCAATCGAGATGCTTCGATCCATGCCGTACCGACAAGTCGCGGCCGAGCTCTCTGTTCCAAGCCGAACTGTGCGCAACTGGCAGCGTGTGGAGGATCAGCTCTTGGCCTACAAAGGGAACAAGAAAACGACGAACTTGCCTGGTGCTGGCCGCCCAACCATACTGCCGCAGCCTGTCGGACTTCTGGCATTCATGGACGCTCGCCAGACCCAGGAATGGGTCACGCAGTACATGGAACGCCAAAAGACTGGCCGTGGATACGACCACCTCCTCAAGCTGCTGCAGGAGTTCTACCATCGAAACGGATACACCCACCAGCAAGCCTGCCGAGCGAAGAAGGTCCTTTCGGACCTTGAGAGCACCCGCACCGATCAAGTGATGGGGTGCATCGTGATTCAGTATAGATTCGACAAACCACTCGAGTTTTCGAAGTTGATAGCGAATTTTCACAAAAATTTAATTCGTACACCACTTCGATGGGATATTTGGTCGAATAGTGGATTTGATTGGCTACTTGATTCTTGACTTGGGTTTTGATTGGTCGTATCTCGATTGTCATTCGATTGAGCGCCCAAACACTAATAGGAACGATTTTGCAGCAAGTGTCGATCCCACCGCCGTTGTGCAAGCAGATCGTGGTGGCGTTGGAGCGTCTGCAGTCGCCGCACAATATTTTTCACTTTGTGGCGTTCAAAAGCCAAGTGCGAATGGCTTATCTGCACACACTTCTGACGCTGCTCACCCTAATCCTGCGAATTCATAATATGAACTTCAACACATCTTGATTGGTCGGAATATTCTTCGTATTTCGTAGTTCTTTACCCAATCATGTCGCGAGAATTGAGTTCTACTTCGATTTCAGATGAGCCTTAAATTCCCTCGTTGTCTGTATGCACGTAGCATGGGGGAATGAGTGAATTGGTTGTTCGTCTTAGCATCAGCCATCCCCCAACGCTTCCTTGCACGCTGATGGGACCCCAGCATCAAATGGTACAATCAACTATCACTGCCACACATCATAATCCGTTTTCACACAACTTAGAAGTGTATTTGATGGCGAGGTAGTGACAAGCGCAGTGCTGATCACAAGCGCTGCGCATGTCATCACCATGCCATCAAATACATTTCTAGTGAACAAAGTAGAGTGACCATGCCATCAAATACACTTCTAGTGAACAAAGTAGAGTGAAAACCGTTGGTGGTTGTCGATTTGGAGGAAACACAGAGTCGATGTGACATGGCTACTCGTGATGATGTACTGCATGTACTGTACAATCAAGTGATGGGGTGCATCGTGATTCAGTATAGATTCGACAAACCACTCGAGTTTTCGAAGTTGATAGCGAATTTTCACAAAAATTTAATTCGTACACCACTTCGATGGGATATTTGGTCGAATAGTGGATTTGATTGGCTACTTGATTCTTGACTTGGGTTTTGATTGGTCGTATCTCGATTGTCATTCGATTGAGCGCCCAAACACTAA